TCCTGCTGTATCTTGGTTTTCCCTGTCAATAGCAAGCCTATCTTTTGCACTCGGCAAACATCATTATATGCCGATTGTATCAGCAGGGCGAGGGGAGGGAGAGAGTTAAACACAAAGCAGACTCCCCCCGCCCACGCTCAAGGGATCCACCATCTGAGGGTAGCTCCATCCACTCCCAGGCTGAGTCCTTGGCATCTTTTCTCCTGATTTCGAGGTAAAAAGTTCCAGGTTAGATCTCGGAAGATCACCGTGGAGTCTCTTCTTAACCACATGCTAGAAAGATGTGTTCCAAAGGCCACATAGATGTTTAATCATAGAGGGCACAACCAGCCCGCTAAGTGTTCTGTGCCCATCACCTCCCACCAGCCATATTTCAGGTCTTTACAAGCCTGAAAAGTGAAAATCAATAGAGATAATGCTTTAAGGAGTGGACATCAAACGGGCTTCTGGTCTGAGAAGCAGTTCCATCGACAGCAACATCAAAGAGAAAACCGAATTACAGGAGAGTCGGGAGAGCAGAGAAGGCAGTGGATTCAGGACTGAATTATAAACAGACAAGCGAGGCGGTGTCCCTGTGGCCGCAGTGGGCTGCTGACCCGCCCAGTATCTCTCCTGGACATCCAGTGTCACCAGAGATGAGCTCATTTTCTAAGACGGGCCAAGCACAGCCTCAGAGCGCCAGGCCTCTGAGCACCGCTGTGCCCTCGGGAGAAATTCAGGCTTGTCTGTAGGCGCTGAAACTGACCGCCAGGGAAGACCCTGCTCACTCCTGGCAGTCAGTCTGCAGGCTCCATGTGACCTCCTAGTGAAGAAGGTGATGACCTACTACCCCCCGCCCCATCGTTTTTATTGTTTTCTTAAACTTCAGCTCAGACTTTGGGATGGGACTGGGAGTTGCATGAGAGATGAAGTAGATTCATTAAGTCTTACTCATCGCACAAACATGGCGGGTGTAGCGGGATATCATTTCGTGGCCAAGCGGCTCTATCAACTGAATGAAGGTGCCTGCTGGGTGCTTGCCGTTCCTCCTGGCTCAAGCTCAGCTCCAGCCTCAGTTCTGAGCCTGGATCCTGTGGGTTGGCAGAAAGCACATGATGATAAACAGGTGTCTCTCTCCACGAATGCTGGCTCCAGGCTCTCAGGGAGGGGCGGGGAGTTTGGGCGCCCGCTTATGCTAACAGACTGTCAGCTTTTCTGTGCACGAGAAAGCACAAACACGAAGCTATTCTGGTCTTGTCTAGGGAGCCATTATGTCTTGAATTTCCAACGTCATTATCTCCAAAGGGCAACATTGTTCCATTTTTCTCCTATTTGCATTCACTGGGAAAAGACAAATGGCCATATTTGCAGAGTGGGAGGGCTAGGGGGAGGGATGGTCATGTGCTTTCTTTTGGATAACCAGCGGCTCTGGAAGGCTGTGTTCATAATGAGACACTGGCACCTCGAGGTGACATTTCACACTTAGAAGACAAGTTTAAGTTAATCAAGCAGTAATTGGTTCTGCAGACTAATGGGATAGAGGTATTTTTTTTTCTTTTTTTTTAACCTAGGAACAAATCTTTTTGATGCTTTGACATGCCTCAAATTATTCTGTTTTCTTATGTATATTATAGTTTTCAGGTGGGAAGTGGCTATGGTTTGATTGTGTCCCCTGACCCCCAAATTCATATGTTGAAATTTGCGGTGGGGCATTGTAATGGTGTTCAGATCTGATCATGGTGTTGAAGGGAAGAGATTAGGCATTGGAATGAGGCCCATGACAGCCCTGGGCTGTCCAGAAGGAATGAGACAGCAGCTGCTCTGCTTCCGTACCCTCCTGCCCCCACCGTGTCGGCTGTAGTAAGACCCTCCCCGCTGCTGGCACCATCTCACCTCCCAAACTGCGACTCAGTAAACCTCTCTTCTCTTCAATGACCCAGACTCCCTTACCTCCGCTACCAGCAGAATGGACTAGAATGGAAGGGCAAGATTTTATTTCAGACCTCCCCCACTCCAACTGCTCCATCAAGACTCTGCTATCAATGTATCTAAGGGAAGGGATTGTGGGTCCTCTCCAGGAAGAGAGATGCTGGGGTTTGTCTCTGTTTCCCATGCGTCCTAACAGGGATTGTTTGTGGCAGGTGGAGGCTTTCCAGGGGAGAAAGGCGTGTGCTGAATTTCTGCTTTCTCACGATGAAAGGCTGCTTCCCCATCTGTGCCACCCGACGTGGCTCTGTTAGGTTTGTACTGGCTGCATGGAACGGAAAGCAGCCTTACGTAACAGGGGCTGAACTTCCTCACTAAACAAGAAGTCTGGAGTGAAGCCTTTCAGATGTTGCTGATGGCTCTTCCAGCTTCCTGCCCTGCTCCCCTTCGTGGGAGACTTCTTTTCTTCATGGTTGCAGAATGGCTGCTTCACCCCCAGACATCACATCCATACTTCTGAAAAGAAAAGAAGAGGGAAAGGAGAAGAAATGACGAAGACCACAGGGCTGAAGGCACATACTACTCTATCTTTTTAGGAATTCTCTTTAAAAAAGAAGTTTATTTTTCTTTCATGATAGAGAGAACCTCCGACAACCTCCAACAGGGTCTTGATAGTGGTCGACCACCCGTCTCAGCCAGCCTGGGCTCAGACATATGTGTGCCTGGTGTTCTCTGGGAGGAACCTGGACCTCTCGGCGTGGGTCCGCCCTGCAGAGTGTCACATCCCACTCCTGTGCCATGTGTGGTCCCTTGGAATTCTTGCCTGGAGTCATTTTGCTTCCATCTCCTCAGCCAGACCTGAGTCGTGTGGACACCCCTCATTGCACAGGAGCCCAGAAAAGTGAGTAGTGTAAACGTGAGCATTTTGCTGCTCGGTTAGAGGACATTTTGAGGGGAAGGGAAGAGGAGAGCGGTGTCTGCCACCTCTGCCACCCAGTCCCTCCGGCTCCACAGAGTCAGAGAAATCCTGCTTATCATCGCCAGTGACAGGGCCTGCTCTTCCTCTGCAGGCAGTCTGGCCTGGGACGTCCCTGGCACCCACCACCAGGGGAAGGCCGTCCTCTGGAAATGGCTGGAGCCCTGGGATGCTCACCACCCATCTCTCCTCTGCCTGTGGCCTTAACGGCCCCGATGACTTCATCCCTTCATCCTGGGGAGAAAAAGCAAAGCTAACACATTTCGCTGGTGCAGTGAGGTCCAGGGTAACTGTGCTCAGAGAACCTGCTCCGAAGACCCTCTGAAGCCCTTCAGCTGAGACCTCCAGCTAAGCTGGGAGAGTCCTGGCTGGAGAGAGAGTGAGGAAGAAATTCAAAATGAATGTGAAGGGGCCAGCTGATGGCATAGCGGTTACATCACTGGACCCCCCACATGGCCGACTGTGGCTGGAGTCCTGAACCTGATGGCTTGAAACTAATGCATGAGTGCCCAAAATCCAGACACCCCCGTAGGGGGTGATTTCTTGCTTTCTGTCTTTCTGTGTGTCTCCAGTAAGTGCACCTGCTCTATAGCAAAAATCTCTCTCTCAAAAGAATAGTGGCCATGTGTTGCATATGAAATTTTGTAGTTAATCAATATTAAGTAAATTTGTTTGAACAATGTCAAAAAAAAAAAAAAAAAGAACGTGGAGTTTGGGTCGTGCAGGGTGAATTAACAACGACAATCCACTCAAATTCAACAAGTTATACAGAGGTTGTTGTGCAAGCAGTGGTTCTATACACGGAGATGCTAGCCTGACCTCAGGGAGGCCCCATCCTATCAGGCAGCAGACACGTGCAGGTTAACACAGCGAAGTTCGGACTCTGACTTGCACAGTGGTTATCGCTGAGACATGACCCTGGCAACAACAGCTCTGAGTTCCACAAGGTGATGTTCGAATGTAGCCCTGCAGGGAAGGTATGGTTTTTGTAAGCAGAGAGAGGAGAGAGGCGTTCCCAGCAGAGGAAACTGTATGAGCCAAGGTTTCTGGGGCACACGTGGGCAAGGACTGCGGTGGTGAGGGCGATGGGGGAGGAGGGCATGGATGGGTCGGGAGAAAACCGAATGTCATGCTGAGTATTTGGACTTTCATGTAGAAAACAGGGAGCCACCGCAGGTTTGAATCACATTCGTGTTGCAGACAGTAGCTCTACCAGACAGGAGTCAGTAGAGGTGGAGGTGGGGGACCGAGGCCGACTACCAAGGGGAGGCAGGTGCTAACAGAGGTCCGACCCACCGAGAGCAGTTGGGATGGAAAGTGTAAGGGCGTTGGAGGGCCCCGGGAATGAGGTGTAGGGATGGCATGTGTTTCTCCGGGTGAGGTCAGGGCCATTGACAAATTCCAAGAAGACACGAGTGGTGTGGGATGGGGGACTCAGTCTGGGCAGTGCGGAGTCCCTGAGCCTCCAGGGCAGAGGATGAGGCTGGAGGCTGTGGGCTCTCCAGACCTGAGTGGATGTGGATCCGATGGCGCAGTGATGAAGGGCCCACACGGCTCCTGAGTGGAGAAGCTGGGGGAGTCAGAGAGAGCAAGGTCAGCTTCGGGGAACCAGGACCACGGCATGATCTGGAAGGCAGCGAGAGTTCCCGCAGCCAGGGAGCGAGGCCGTAGCTCGTCCCAGGGGTCCAGGGCTTATCCTGTGGCTGAGGGGAAGGACGCAAGCCTGGCCCAGCAAAGTGAGTCCGAATGGATACAGCCCAGCAGCTGGGGCTCTGCAGCCCAGGGTGGAGTCCCCCGTCCTTCCCATGTCTACCTGGGAAGGCTGCCTGCTAGGAGGGGCGAGTCTCTCCTGATCTCTCCCCTTTGACTTCCCCTTTAGGCCCTCCACTCCCTGTCCGTGACTAAGGACTCCTGTGGCCACAGTACGAGGGTGCTGTCCAGAGGGGTGCCCAGTGCTTAAGGTACTTAGCAGAAGCTTCCGAGTATGGAACAAGTGGTCTGTGAGGCGACCTCCCAGGCCTGAAGTCTGTGTTGGTGGGGTGCGGCATGTTTCAGGGGTGAGCTCTAAGTTTCTCGCCCTCCTCCCTCAGAGGCTGCGGAGCCCTGCCTGGCTCTCGCTCTCTGCTCCTTGGGCTCCTGGAGAAGCAGCTTCTTCGCCTTGCTTCGCCGGGGACCCAGGGCATTTCTCAGCTTCACATTAGCCTTACTCACCTCACAGCCCCCTTGAGCCCCGCCTGCAGGGTCCCTCACGAACACCCTGAGCCTGAGTCTCCCCAGATCTCGCTTTCAACAGTTTTCCTGATGTCCACAGTGGCTTCCCAGGGCTCTGAGGATGAAGGCTGGAATCAGCCAGGCACTGCCAGGCCCACCTGTTTCCTCTGTCTCCTCGGCTCCAGGACCACGTTGGCTCCCCTCTCATCTTG